GTCTCTCTCTCTCCCTCTCTCTCTCTCTCTCTCAGAAATAAATAAAACATTAAGAAATTTTTAAATAAAAACATAAAAAATAAATAAAAAGCCTATTCCTGGGACTCACCTCTGAAGATTTAGATGCAGTGGGATGTGTGGGTCCAGGAACCGGGCTTTTAGCCAGCATATATAAGGAAATGCTCTTTGTTAGAACTCTGGTTTTTATTGACCTCCTTAATTAAAAAAAGTATTGGGGTGCTCAAGTGGCTCAGTCAGTTGAGTGTCCGACTCTTGATTTCAGCTCAAGTCATAATCCCAGGGCAATGGGATCGAGTCCTTTGTCAGGCTTTACCTGAGTGTGGAGCCTGCTTGAGATTCTCTCTCTCCTCCACTCTCTCTATTAAAAAAAAAAACTGCATTGATTAGGTTATGTTCATTATGAAAGAAATGGGGATGCACATTATTGGAAGCCTACTATACTGTCAAACTATAAAAGGGCTTTTGTTGACTCTCCCGTTAATCTGAAAACTTGTTTATCAGAACATCCTATTCCTAAGCATTCTGACTGAACTTTCATGTAAATAATGTACATTTATTAACAACAATGTGCATTCATGAAGAGACCCTCCATCAAAGGGAGCTTTCTTGAATTAGGCAAAACTTAATGGCTCAACACCCACAGAATGGGGGAAAATATTTGCAAGTCATATATCTGGTAAAGGGACTAATATAGAGAGTACATAAAGACCTCCTAAAACTCAATAACAAAAAACAACCTGATTCAAAAATGGGCAAAAGAGGGGTACCTGGGTGGCCCAGTTGGTTGACTGCCTGACTTCAGTTCAGGTCATGATCTCACAGCTCATGAGTTCAAGCCCCATGTCAGGCTCTGTGCTGACAGCTAGCTCAGAGCCTGGAGCCTGCTTCAGATTCTGTGTCTCCCTCTCTCTCTGCCCCTCTCCTGCTCACTCTTTCTCTCTCAAAAATAAATAAAAACACTAAAAAAATGGGCAAAAGATTTTAGCAGACATTTCTCCAAAGGAGATATATGAATCGCTAATAAGTACATGAAAAGATGCTCAACATCACTCATCATTTGGGAAATGCAAATCACAGCTACAAGTTATCACCTCATACCCACTAGTACAGCTACTATAAAAAGAAAATACAAAACAAAAACCAGAAAAGAAGCGTTGACAAGGGTTTGGAGAAACGGAAACGCTTGTGTATTGTTGGTGAAGGCATAAAATGGCACAGTTGCTATGGAAAACAGTATCCTGTTAAACATAGAATTACCATAGGATCCAACAAGTCCACTTCTGGGTATATACCCAAAAGAATTGAAAGCAAGTTCTCGAAAGGACACTTGTCCACCCATGTTGATAGCAGCATTGACATAGCTAAAACACAGAACCAACCCAAGTGTGCATCAGCAGATGAGAGGATAAGCAAAAAGTGGTACATACCATGGGATATTTCATACTTAAAAAGGAAGGAAATTCTGCAGTATGCTACAACAGGGATGTACCTTGAGGACATGATGCTAAATGAAGTCATTTCTATGAGAAACGTAGAGGAGTCAAATTCATAGAGACAGGGAGAAGACTGGTGGCTGCCAGGGGCTGGGGGAGGGGAGAATGGGGAGTTACTGCGTGCGTGAAAAGCACAGAGTTTCAGATGAAAGGAATTATGGGGATGAATGGTGGTGAATGGTGCACTACAATGTGAATGTACTTAATACCACTGAATTGTCCCACTTGAAAATAGCTAAAATGATCATTGTTATGTGTGCCTTACCACTCTAAATAATCCACTAAAAACAATGAATGGGCTCAGGATAATAAACTGTGTGATTTGATCCTGTTCATATGACCTTTACCTCTGGATAAGACAAAACTATACTACTGAGAACAGAGCAGTGGTCACGAAGGGGCTAAAGGTGAGAGAAGGATGTGACTTCAAAGGAAGGAGTTTTTTGGGGTGATGAAACTATTCTATATCCTCATTCTATTGGTGGTTACAAGAACCCTTCTATGTGTTAACATCCATAAACTGTACACAATAATAAGCCCTTTTACTATATGTTTATTTAAAAGGTAAAGTTAATTAATTGGCCCAACTTGAGGTTACTGTTGTTATTACCCTTGACAATAGCAGCCCCAAAGGTTGAGGTTTATGGAGACAGAGGAGAATAATGAAAGATGCCCACGGGTAGGCAGGAAAAGAGAATGAGAATAAGCAGGTTGGGTAAACAACTGTTCTGAGTACATATTTTTATCTTTTCTTTTTTGAGAATTACCTGCTAAACATCAGTCTTACTCAGGCTTCCTCCTCCTCTTCCAAGCGTAAACTATTCTGATGGCCAGTCATTTCGAGGTTTCTCCTACAAGGCACTTCAGTCCAACAGTGATTTTTCGTTGGAACTTAACTTTCCTGTTTACCTCGTGGCCCAACAGTGCTCAGAATGGTTCAGCTTTTAAAGCAAAGCCCTCTCTGACAGTTCCAACATTTGAGTTCAGACAGAGGAACTAGAGGAAAGGTCTTTTCCATAGTGGCCACAGAGTAACTTCCTGTATGAAGTTTACATTTCAATTGCCCCCTCTCGATTGGAGCTTCGAGACAGACAACTTGAGACAAATCTGTCATTTAAAAATTTTTAGTAGCCACCTTTAAAAAGCAAACACAGCACATGAGATCAACTGTAATATTTTACTTAACCCAGTACATCAAAACATCATTGCAACATGTAAGCAATATAAAAATTATGAATGTGGGGTGCCTGGGTGGCTTAGTCGGTTAAGCGTCCGACTTTCGCTTAGGTCATGATCTTGCGGTTTGTGGGTTCGAGCCCTGCGTCGGGCTCTGTGCTGACTGCCAGCTCAGAGCCTGGAGCCTATTTCAGAGTCTGTATCTCCCTCTCTCTCTGACCCTCCCCTGCTCACGCTGTCTCTCTCTCTCTCCTAGAAATAAATAAAAAATATTTAAAAAAATATGAGTGAAATATTTTGCATCCTCTTTTTTTGTACTGCCTTTGAAATCCAGGGTGTTTTACACTTAAAATACATCTCCATTTGGATTAGCTACAACATGCCAATAGTTAGTAGCTGTTGCATAAGACAAAACAAGTCTAAATTATTCTTTTAAGTTTATTTATTTTGAGAAAGAGAGAGAGAGAAAGCATGAGCAGAGGAGGGACAGAGAAAGTGGGAGAGAAAATTCAAAGCAGTCTCCGTGCTGTCAACACAGAGCCCGGGTATGGGGCTCAAAACCATGAACTGTGAGATCATGACCTGAACAGAAATCAAGAGTCAGACGCTTGGCTGACTGAGCCACCCAGGTGCCCCTAGACTATTCATTTTTTAAAGCATGATGAATATTTGAGCCTCGCTCCACAGTCTTCATTCATTCATTAGTCAACAAACACTGGAGTGTCTGCTAGCATCAAGCATTATGCTAGAAACTGGAAATACAGAAGTGAACGAGACATCATATCCTCTAAAGCTCAGTCCGTAGGAATGAAAGACCCATAAAGAGATCATCTTAAAAAAAATGTGAAAGAATCATGACAGATACACTGTTTTTTGAGCACCCGAAAGGGGAAGGCAGTGCCATAAATGGCCCTGAGCTGGCTTCAAGGATGTGCTTAAGGTTAGGTCTACTAAGGACCCGGGTAAGGGCATTCTGGTAGTGCCAGCTTGTGCAAAGGCAATGAAAAAATGAAGGAGAATGGGGCTCAGGGAACCCCTAAGAGTTCATGTTCCTGCAAAGATGAAAGAGAGAAACGTGGAAAGGTAAGCAAGGCCAGTGTAGAACCTGATGAGTCACATTTAGCTTCTAAAATAAAAATCTCCTACACTTTATAAAATATTAGAAAATGGGGCGCCTGGGTTAGGTCTACTAAGGAGGTAAGGTCCACCTAACCGACTAAGGTCGGTTAAGTGTCCGACTTCTGCTCAGGTCAGGATCTCATGGTCTGTGGGTTCGAGCCCCGCATCAGGCTCTGGGCTGACAGCTCAGAGCCTGGAGCTTGCTTCTGATTCAGTGTCTCTCTCTCTCTGCCGCTCCTGTGCTCGCCCTCCTTCTCTGTCTCTCAGTAATGAATAAATATTTAAAAATAAAATAAAATTTAGACAAGACAACCGTCTCTCTACAGAACTGAGGTGAAACACAAATGACACTGGATTTCACCTCTTGCTGGGAACAGGCAGGGCTCCTCTGTACTGGCTGTCCAAGAGCACCCCACCCCTGGGTCCTGCGACACTGCCTGGAGCTCTTGCAGTGGCTGGGATTCCTTCCTTCCTTCCTTCTTTCCCGTCCAGTTCTGCCTCTCTGCCTCAGCAGAGTGGAAAACGGAGAAGGGTGCCGACCACAGTGTGCCCCTCAAAAGCCTTTTGGAGTTCAGGGACAGGTCTTCACCCTTCTGGAATGTTTCCTTGTAGATAAAATGGGGCTCACACTATTACCCACCGCCCAGAAAGAACTGCTGTGTAACTCAAATGAATCTTCAGAAAGCGCCTCAAGACTAAAAGATGCATCATGTGGTCTTGCGGGCACGGAGTGACCTGACCTGCCGAGGTCAAGGCCAGGTTTGCATTCTCTCCGGGGCCGGACAGGAATCCTCCGCCAAGCTGCAAGGGTGGCTGACCCAGAATGCGAAGCCCCCACCGCACCCCGTCGGAAGTAACCCAACGTGTGACCGCCTAACGCGATCCTGGAGGAGGCGCCACCTGGAGCCAGGGCAGCAGCCGCACCCCGGGACCGCCGCCGCCCCCCGCACCCCCACAGCCTCCAGCACCGCAGGACGCAGTTGACCCCACCAGCGCGCGTGTCCCCGGCCACCCCTCCCCGCGCGTCGGCGAGAAAGAGGGTGGAGCGGCCTGACTCCCGCAGCCAATAAAAGCAGCGGTTTCCTGGTCCGATCCCCGGCGCGGCTCGCCATTGGTCGCCAGCCGGGTCTCGGCCCACCGAACCTTTGCGACCCGAGCCAATCGCGAGGCGGCAACGCGACCCCAAGACTCCCCGGGAGCGGGCTGCGGGCAGCGCGGGCGCCGGCGGGCGAGGAGCGGGTGGCGGTGACAGGCGGCGCGAGCTGGCCCCCCCTCCCCCGCGCGGCGCGCCGCAGGCCCCACCATGGAGCCCGCCGTGTCGCTGGCCGTGTGCGCGCTGCTCTTCCTGCTCTGGGTCCGCGTGAAGGGGCTGGAGTTCGTGCTCATCCACCAGCGCTGGGTGTTCGTGTGCCTCTTCCTCCTGCCGCTCTCGCTCATCTTCGACATCTACTACTACGTGCGCGCCTGGGTGGTGTTCAAGCTCAGCAGCGCGCCGCGGCTGCACGGGCAGCGTGTGCGGGACATCCAGAAGCAGGTGAACGGCGCCGGGCGGGGCGCACGGGAGCGGGTCCGCTGCGCTCGGACGTGTGCGCTGGGAGTGCCGCGCCGGGCGCGCGGGGGCGTGCGGTGCGCCTGCCTTGGGGGCGGGGGGAGGGTTGAACTCAAAATGGTGGGGGCTTCCCGGGGAGGGAACGGAGTCAGCGAAGGCCTTCGGGGGAGACAATGTTACTCGGTGTTTATGGAGCGCCTACTATGTGCGGAGCACGTGCAGGTCCCCAGAGGGATATAAAGCATCACGAGAGAGGGGACGGTGAGTCGTGCACAGGTGGCTGCCGCCAGACCCAAGCGACCTCGGAGCTCAGAGGTGGAGCTGGCACTAGAGACTGGGAAGTAGGGAGGAAGAGGTGTCAGGGGGAGGGTCGGGTTTGAGGCGAGGCCGGGAGCGGGAGAAGGTTGGTTGGAAGTCAGTTCCGAGCGGGGCGGGGCCTTGAGTTTGGAGTTTACTCTGTAGCAGGCTGGGGCTGTGGAAGTCTGTAGAAGGAAGGACTGAAGTGAGAAGGGAGCACCGAGGCTATGGGCCTGGCGTTCACTCCTTGAGGAGGCACCCCCAGTAACTCTGCACATCCTCCCCCGTGTCTGCGCGCAGAGAGCCTGTGCCCGAGCCGCTGCTCACGGTGGAGCCTCCTTCTCCACGCCCAGCGCTGGCATGGGCATCGGGCCTGGGCATTTTCTTGGCTCCCTCTGCCCCTGCTTATGTTCCTCTCTTAGGGGGTGTTAGGTTGCAAAGAGCTTCTGTTTCCTGCCGCCGCCCTCGCCACAGGTGTGGCAGCCTCCACGTTTTGTTGGCATAGGGCTGGGTGCTGCTCGCAAGAGTGGGGAGATGGGTGCCAAGGGCCACCCCTATGAAAGAGAAGACCTTGGGTTGGGTGGCAGAACGCAGCGGCCGGAACTGCTTTGCGTGGGCTGCCCTCACCACTCCAGAGCCCTGCCTACCCCTCCCGCCCGTTTTTCCTAGCTCCTTCTGCTTGTTCGGATTCTCTGTGTACTTGTTTGTCACCACCCTCCCACCCCCCCCCCCCCCCCCCCCCCCCCCCCCCCCCCCCCCCCCACCAGTCAGAGTGTGAGCTCTTTGAAGGCAAGGACCGTTGTCCAACTGTCGTCAGGCCCAGGAGCCTGGCCCAGAACAGCCTAGTGAGCACTTGTCTACCTAAACTAAGCCATACGCCTCACTGGACAGGAAGCCAAGGGGCTTGCCCGAACTGGCCCACTGCCTTGGACCTGCCGTGTGCCACAGCCTATCCCCCTGATGTCCGTCATTTCTAATCTCCCAGCAACCCTGGTAGGTCTTATACCTGTTTGACAGATGGGAAGAATTGAGGCTGAGGCGGTAGTGACATGTTTACAGCTAGTAGATGGTGCTGGACGCTAGGCCAGCCTGGTTTTAGAGCCTGAACTCTGACCTGTCTTCCTTCCCATCCCTTTCCATTCCACCCAGTAGGTGCCTCCCACCTAGCTTGGCTAACAGCCATCTGACGAGCCACTTAAGCAATCGCCCGTGATCTTGGCCCTCCCCACCTCTCTGACACGTGGTCACGAGAACATTACTTCCCTGCCCAGATTCTTGCTGGGTTCACATCAGGATCCGGTCCAACCGGTGGCTCAGGCTTTAAGGCCTCAGTCCTTACTTCATGTGGCCCACCCAGCAGCTGGAATGCAGCACCCACAATCCCTTTCCTGCACCCCTGAGTTTGAACGAAGGCCTGGGACTGTAGAGTCAGGCCAGCGTCAAGGCCCGCTTGATGGTGGAATGCCACCTCTGGCCCCGCCACAGAAATCTCTTCCTCAGTAGCCCTCCTCTGCTCGAACGCCTCTATTTCACAGGGTACTCTGGCCCCTGATGGTAGGAAAGTTCTCCGCCCTGTGGAGCTGTTTGCCTAACAAACAGCTGTTGCTTCAAAGCAACTGCCTCCACAACTCTTGGTTGCATCATGTGATAGATCTAAGCTCGGACCGGCATGAGCAGAAAGGGATGTTATTGGCCCAGGTCCTGAAAAGCCCAGGGACAAAACTGGCTCAGGTATGACTGGATCCAGGATGCCCTGTCCCTCACCCTCAGCTTGCCATCCCTCTGCCATCCTTTGGCTCTGCTTTCCTACGGACTGACTTTCGTTCGCAGGGAGGCCCGTCTCCCTGTGGAAACCACAGCAGTCTCCTCCAAGCAGCTCTGCAATCCCAGTAAAATGGGAGCGCCTCTCCTGGAACTGGTCTTAACACTGTCCCGCCTTGGGTGCTGGGCCCGTCCGTCCCTGGACCGGTCACGATGGCCCGAAGGACAGAATCAGACCTCAGGCATGGGCCCGCCTTCTGGGGGCAGGGGTAGCCTCGGCGTCAGCTGGACCAAAGGGAGATGAGAAGGTTGGAAGCATATGATGAGGAGACGGATGGCCGAAGCTCACAGCAACAGACATCCATCTCCGCAGGAAGGGGACACTTCCTCCCGTGCTCCCGATGGCCTCGGCCTCTCCTCGCCGCTTGCTCTCGGTGTTTTGTGTTCTGGTCACTTAGAGTAGAGGCTTTGCAAAAGCTCTTCCTTCCACTGGCCTGGTGGCCCTTCCCTGCCCCTTCTCTCGCCCTTCGAGGGACACGAGTTAACACACAGCCTGGGCGCTGCCCTTCCCTGGTTGAGGGACCAAACTATTTTGCTTCTCCGTTTTCTCTCGTACTGGGAGAAGTAAAGGAGACAGTGTAGATGGGTGCCTGGCCCAGCGGGGACACCCGGTGAATGGTTCTCTCTTGTCGGGTTGTATTATTGCTGCTACGGAACCTTCCCGAGCTTCCCAGTTAGAGTTGTTTCCATAGCACTCTGACCCTGTATTTTAGCTCTTTTTCCATCCTGCCTCAGTGGTGCGGTAACACCTCGGCTTTTCCGTCAGCCACACTGGCCGGGCTGGGTTCGGAGGGAAAGGCCTGCGGGCCTGCCAGGGCCCAATAGATAGTTGCTCACGCGCGAAGGCGTCACTCCGGGCGCCCTCGTGAATGCGGGGCCTTGGCCGCTCGGGGGGGTCCCCTGCTGGGACCAGCTCAAGTCTCTGTCGCCGCGATTGCAGGTGCGGGAATGGAAGGAGCAGGGCAGCAAGACTTTCATGTGCACAGGACGCCCCGGCTGGCTCACCGTCTCGCTGCGGGTCGGGAAGTACAAGAAAACCCACAAAAACATCATGATCAACCTGATGGACATTCTGGAGGTGGACACCGAGAAGCAGGTGAGGGTGGCACAGCTCCCCGGCTCGGGGGGCAAGCAGGGCAGGCGGCCCGCGGGGAGGCCATTTCAACCAAGAAGCCCCCCTGCAGGAGCCTGGTCATGACCGAAGGCTCTGCCGCCCTTCAGGACCTCATAGCCTTGGGAGAGATCAGTGGTAGCCCCTTCCCCCAGGTGCGCAGACTGAGCTCAGGGAGACTTGTTGATCGTCAGCAGTTCTGTGGGAAGAAAGGATGGGGGAATCATGGACAAAGAGGAGAGAGAAAAGGGAACCTATTATCCCTTCCCAGTAAGGAAGGCTGCTGTGCTGGGAAACGGTGGGGTCCGGAGGTGGCAGGGAGGGAGGGTGCACCTTGTTCCAGGCTTCCTGGAGATCCGCAGCAGACTTAGACATGTGCTCACTCTTTGGCCTATCCAGCAATTTTTCTTGAAACCTGGCACAAGAATAAAGAAAATAAGTTTAAGTCAAAGACAGCACAGGGGGACTGTGTCACTTCTGCCTGCCTGCCTGCCTTCGCTTCTTCCCCTTTCTCCCCCTCTCTCTTTTCTTTCCTTTTTTTTCTTTTCTTTTCTTTTTTCTCCCTCCTTTCCTTCCTTCCTTCCTTCCTTCCTTCCTTCCTTCCTTCCTTCCTTCCTTCCTTCCTTCCTTCCTTCCTTCTTTCCGTCCTTTCCTCTCTCTCTCTTTTTTTTTCTCTCTCCTTCCCTCCCTCCCTCCTTTTTCTGTAACAATTTCATTCTAATGGAAGATCACACAATACCCTGTAGTAGGACGTTATTAGATACGGTATAGCCGCACACTATGGCATTTTGTTGTGAGGCCTTGGCCATGTCGCTTAATGTCCTTGTGTCTTTTCTCTTCTCCTAAGCCGCTTTATTAAGATCTACTTGATATGAAATACTGCACAGGTGTCCAGTGGTAATAAATTTTGGCATACATCTGCACAGTCAGGACGATGAACATACCCATTGTCCCCAGAAGTTTCCTTGTGCCCCTAGGGAATCCTTTGTTTGGCCCCCTCCCTGCCCCTACCCCCTGCATTCCTAGGCAAATAATGGCCTGCTTTGTATCACTACTTTGTATTTAGAGTTGTATATAAATGGCATCATACATTAGGTACTCTTTTATTTTGTCTGACAACTTTGACTCAGCATAATTTTTTTTTTTAATGTTCATTTATTTTTGAGAGAGCATGGGCAGAGGAGGGGCAGAGAGAGGGAGACACAGACCCTGAAGCTTCCAGGCTCTGAGCCATCATCAGCACAGAGCCCGACACAGGGCTCAACCCCACAAACCAAGAGATCATGACCTGAGCTGAAGTCAGACTCTCAACCAACTGAGCCACCCAGGCGCCCCTCACTCAGCATAGTTATTTCGAGATCCATCCATGTTGAAGCATGTATCACAAGTGCCTCCTATATTACTGATAAATAGTATTCCATGGTTTATATAGATCACAGTTTGTTTAGCCATTCATTTCTTGATGAATGGGGCCATTACGAAGTGGCTAGGAGCATTTGTGCACAGCCTTGTATGGACTGACACTTTCTTTTGGGTGAATCCCCGGAAATGGGATAGCTAGGCCATAGGATAGGAGTATGGTTAACTGTTTAAGAAACCATTAAATTGTTTTCTAAAGCGGTTGTAGCATCTGCCATTCCCACGAGTGTTCCCCTGGCACCACGTCATCATGGCTTGCTGTGGTTGGTCTGTTTCCTAATAGGTGCGTAGTGGTAGCTCATTGTGGTTTAACTTCCATTTTCCTAATGACTGACGATGGGCATCTTTCCACATCCATATTTGTCATTTGTGTCTCTTCTTTGGTGAATGCCTGTTCAAATCTTAGGCTAAATTTTTTCATTGGGTTATTTTCCTTATACGTTCCAGACACAAGTCCTTCATCAGATACTGTTCGTAAATATTTTCTCCAGTGTTTGACCTCTTTTGAAACCCAGAGTTCATTTTGATGGAGTTTGTATATTAATTTCTTTCATAGGTTGTGTTTGTGAGGTCTTATTTAAGAAGTCTTGCCCTAATCCTGTGTTTTCTTCTAAAAGTATTACAGTTTTCTGTTTTATGGGTAAGAGCACGATCCATTTTGAGTTAATTCTTGCCAATGGTGTCAAATGTTGGTGAAAAACTTTTTTTGCATGTGAATTTCCTATTGTTCTTGTCCCTTTTGTTGAAGAGATCATCTTTTCGCCACTGAATTGGCTTTGCTCCTTTGTTGAAAATCAGTTGTCCATAGACATAGCTCTGTTTCTACATGCTTCCGTTGATCTGTTTGCCCATCTGTATGCCAATATCATGCTGTCTTGATTGCTGTCACTTGGTAATAAGTCCCTAAGAATGAGTTGGGAAATAGTCCTTCCTTTTCATTTTTCTGGAGGAGTTTGTATAAAATTGGTATTATTTCTCCATGCAGTAATTAGTAGAATTAACCAGTGAAACTATCTGGGCCTGGATTTTTCTTTGTTAGCAAGTGTGTATCTACAAAATAAAAATTTATAATAGCCCTATGAGCTTTGGCAGTTTGTGTCTCTAAAGGTATTTGTCTATTTCAAGTTGTATAATGAATTGACATTAGGTTATTCAAAATATTCCCCTACTGTCTTTTGAACACCTATAGAATCTGTAGTGATGCCACATGATTCATTCCTGATATTGGTCGTTTGTGGCTCTTCTTTTCCTCCTGACCAATCTGGCCAGAGCTTAGTCAACTATACTGATCTTCTCAAAGAAGTAGCTTTTGGTTTCATTGATTTTTCTCTATTTTTGGTTTATTTGTTTCCTATTTTATTGACTTCTGCTCTGATCTTTGTTAATACTTTTCTTTTACTTACTTTGCATTTAACTTTGCGTTTCTTTTAAGGTGAAAGCTGAGGTCATTGATTTAGGCCTTTTCTTCTAGTATAGATGTTTAGTGCTATAAATTTTCCCCCAAAGCACAGTTTTGTTTGTTTGTTTGTTTGTTTGTTTGTTTTACAAGTAGTTTATTGTCAAATTAGTTTCCACATAACATCCAGTGCTCATTCACAAGTGACCTCCACACCCATCCTCCCCACCCCCCACATCCATCAGTCCTCAGTTTTTGTCAGCATTCAAGAGTCTCTCATGGTTTGCCTCTCTCCCTTTCCCCCACCATTTCTCCCCATCTTCTCCCCCATGGTCCTCTGTTAAGTTCCTCCTAATCCTCCTATACGTGCAAACATATGATATTTGTCCTTCTCTGCCTGACTTATTTCGCTCAGCATAACACCCTCAAGGTCCATCCATGTTGCTACCCATGGCCAGATTTCATTGTTTCTCGCTGCCCTGTAGTATTCCATGGTATAGATAAACCACATCTTCTTGATCCATTCGTCCGTTGATGGACACTTAGGTTCTTTCCATGTTTTAGCTATTGTTGAGAGTGCTGCTATGAACATTGGGGTACATGTGCTCCTGTGCATCAGCATTTCTGTATCCCTTGGGTAAATTCCTAGCAGTGCTATTGCTGGGTCATAGGGGAGTTCTATTGTTAATTTCCTGAGGAACCTCCACACTGTTTTCCAGAGAGGCTGCACCAGTTTACATTTCCACCAACAGTGTAGTAGGTGCCCATTTCTCCACATCCTCGCCAGCATCTAGCGTTCTCTGATTTGCTCATTTTAGCCACTCTGACTGGCGTGAGGTGGTATCTCAGTGTGGTTTTGATTTGTATTTCCCTGAAGAGGAGGGATGCTGAGCATCGTTTCATGCCAAAGCAGTTTTAAAACCACTCCACAAATTTTAAATCTTTTTACGTTCATTGAGTTCAAAATACTTTCTGGTTTCCCTTTTTTCTTTTTAGTTTTTTTTTTTTAAGAGAGAGAGTAAGCACAGGGGAGGAGCAGAGAGAGAGAGAGAGAGAGAATGAGAATGTTAAGCAGGCTCCATCCTCAGTGCAGAGTCTGACATGGGGCTCAATCCCATGACCCTGGGATTATGACCTGATCTGAAATCAAGGGTCAGACACTCAACTGACTTAGCTACCCAGGCGCCCCTGGTTTCCCTTTTGATATTACTTTCACTCCTGGGTTATTTAGAAGCCTGTTATTCAGTTTCCAAATATTTGGGACTTTTCCAGAGATCTTTCTCTTACCGATTTCTAATTTAATTCAGTTATTGTTAGAAACTTTATATGATTAGAATGCTTTTCAGCTTACTGAGACTTACTTTATGGCCCAGAATATAGGCTATCTTGGTAAATGTTCCATGTCCCTTATTCTGCTGTTTAGGGGTGGCATGTCAGTTAAGTCAAGTTGGTTGATTCAAGTTTGGTGTTCAAGTTTTCTATATTCTTACGAATTTTCTCTCTGTACTATCAATTATTGAAAGAGAGATATTGGAATCTCTGCCTGTGATTGTGGAGTTATTTCTCTTAAAGCTCCATCAGGTTTTGCTTCATGGATTTTGAAGCTCTGCTAATAGGTAGGTATATAAATGTTTAGAATTTTTATGTCCTCTTGATTGAATGATTTATGTCCTTTTGATGAACCCCTTTATCGTTATGAAATGACTGGTTTTATTCCTAGTTATCTTCTTTGCTCTGAAATCTACTTTATCTGATGTGATTAATAGTCATTTCACCTCTCTCTTGACTGGTGGTGGCATGGTGTACCTTTATATTTAAAGCGTGTTCCTTACGGGTAACACACAGTTAGATACTGTTTTTTAATCCAATCTGACAATCTCCCCCTTTTAATTGAGATGTTAAAACCATTTGCATTTAATGTCATCATCAATAAGGTTTGATTTAAATCAGTCACCTTGTTCTTTGTTTTCTATTTGTCCCTTTGTTCTTTGTTCCCTTTTTATTGTTTTTTTTTTCTGTCTTCTTTTGGATTATGGAATAATTTTCGTAATCCTATTTTAGCTCTGTGGTTGGCTTTATGTTTTGTAAGTTTATGTTTTGTTCTGGCGGTTGTTTTAGGATTTATACTTTGCATTTTACTTATCATGGTCCACCTTCAAGTGATAGCATCCTATGTCACTTATATTTTAAGAGTCTTACATTAAAATACTTCCGGTTCTCTCCTCCCCACCTTTGTGCTATTGTTGTCATACTTTTACATGTTGTAAACCCCAATGTCAGTTACCTTTTGAAGAAATATAATGAGAAAAAAATCTTGGGGCACCTGGGTGGCTCAGTCGGTTAAGCCTCTGACTTTGGCTCAGGTCATGATCTCACAGTTCATGGGTTCGAGCCCCGTGTCGGGCTCTGTGCTGACAGCTAGCTCAGAGCCTGGAGCCTGCTTTGGATTCTGTATCTCTCTCTCTCTCTCTGACCCTCCCCTGCTCACGCTGTCTCTCTCAGAAATTTAAACCAAAATGTAAAAAAAAGAAAAAATCTTATACTTACTCATGTAGTTACTATTTCTTCATTCTGTTGTATTTCCATCTGGTTTCATTTTCTTTCTGCCTGAAGGAGCGCCTTCGACTTTTCTTTTACAACTTTTGGGGAACTACATATAACATAAAATTTATCATCCTAACCTATTTTGTTATGGGGCTGAGGGATAGAGAAAGAGAATCTTAAGCAGCTTCCACGCCCAGCATGGAGCCCAATGCAGGGCTTGATCTCACAACCCTGAGCTGAAATCAAGGCAAGACGCTTAACCAGCAGAGCCACCCAGTTGCCAAACCATTTTTTTAAAGTAGGCTCCATGCCCAATATGGGTCTTGAACTCACGACCCTGAGATCAAGAATCACACACTCCACGGACTGAACCAGCCAGGCACCCCAGTCACCTTAACCATTTTTCAGTGTATACTTCTTCGGTGGTACCAAATACACTCACATTGTTATGCACTGTGAATTATGAGAATTATTAAGCAATAATTCTCCATTCTCCTCTCACTCTCACCCTGTGCAACCACCATTACAAATTCTGTCTTTGTGATTTTGACTATTCTATGTACCTCATTAAGTGAAATCATACAGTATTTGGTTTTTTGTGCCCATCTTATTTTGCTTAGCATAATGTCCTTAAGGTTCGTTCATCTCGTAGCATATTACAGAATTTCCTTCCTTCGAAAGGCTGAACAATATTTCATTGTGTGTGTGTGTGTGTGTATACACCACATTTTGCTTTTCCATTAATCTGTTGATGGACATTGGGCTATACCCATGATTTGGCCATTGTGAATAATGCCACTAGGAACGTGGATGTACAAATACCTTTTCAGGTCCCGCGTTCAGTTCTTTAGGGTATCATCCCAAAAGTGGCATTGCTGGATCGTATGGTAATTCTGTGTTTAATCCTTTTTGAGGATCTGCCACACCGTTTGCTGCAGCAGCTGTACCAGTTTACATTCCCAGCAACAGTCCACAAGGGTTTTAATTCCTCCATGTCTTCACCATCACTTGTCATTTTCTGGGTTTGTGTTTGTTCTGTTTTTTGATAAGCCCATCCTAATGCATTCAAGGTTGCCTTTGTTTCTGAAAGTTGTTTTCTCTGGGTATGAAATTCCAGATTGATAGGGGTTTTTTTCACCATACATTACAGACTCTTCACTTCCTTCCTTCCTGCGTCGTTTCCAACAGAGCAACCTCTCATCCTTGTCTTTATTCCTCAGCACGGAATACCTCTGGCTGCTTCTGAGGTTTTATCGTTAGTTTTGAGCAGTTTTATTATGATGCCCCTTGTTTTGTTTTTTTTCCCTAATTCTCATGTTTGGGATTCATTATAAGTTTCATCAGATTTGGGAAATGTGGGGGGTCATTATTTCTTCAAGTATTTTTTTCTGTCCCCTGTTCTCTCTCCTTTGAGGACTGTCAGGCATGTATGAGACCCCTTGAAGTTATTCCACGACTCAGCTCACTGATACACTGTGAAAACTGTAAAAAAATTATCTTTGTGTGTCTTATCTAGGAAAATCTGAATTGCTCTGTCCTTGAGTCTGCCTTTTTCTCCTGCAGTGTCTACTTTGCTGTCAATCCCAGCCCAGGTATCTTTCATCTCAGATGTTGTTTTAACCTCTACAAGTTTGATAAGGATCTTTTTCCTGTCTTTTTAACATCTTTGCTTAATCTTTTGAATATAGGGAATATAGTAATATAATTACTCATTAATAACAATTACTTTAATGTTCTCTGCTCATTTAATATCTCTGTCAAATCTGGGCCTATTTTATTAAAACAGATTGATTGATTTTCCTCTTTGTTGTGAGTCAGATCTTCCTGCCTCTTTGCATACCTACCTGGTAAACTTCGACTGGATTCTAGACATTGTTGAGTTTTACCTTGCTGGGTGCTGAATATTTTTGTGTTCCTGTAACTCTTCTGGAGCTTTGTTCTGGGACACAGCTATGCTACCGGAAAACAGTTTGATCCTTTGGGGTCTTGATTTTTCAAGTAGGGTCAGAGCAGCGTGTGATCTAAGGATAGTTCTCCCTCTTTGCTGAGGCAAGGTCATACTCTCCCCATTGCCTTATGAACCCTGAGGTTCTCAGGTCTGACTTGTGACAACAGATAGTCTTTCCTTCCCCGGGTGAGCCCCTGGCATTGTGACCTGTTATCCTTTCCAGTGCCACTTTCCCGGGCTCCAGCCTCAGGTGATTTCCTCATGTGGATGCACTGATGAGCACTTCACTGAACGTTCAGTGGGCATCCTCTGCAGTTCTTCGGGGTTTTCTCTCTGTGCAGTTCTCTCCTCCAGTGCTCTGTCCTGCAAACTCTCTTCACCTTGGTCTTTTGCGGCTCTCAAAACAGAGTCCACTGGTCTCCCCTGCCTTCCCCCCTCCCTGCACTGCCTGACTCCAGGGAATTAGGCTGGGCATTCACAGAGTTCCCTTCGTTCGTTTCCTGCCTCTCGGCGGTCATACACGTCATTGCCTGATGTCCACTATGTTGAAAGCTCTCGTTCTGTTTATTTTGTCTGTTTCCTGCCTTCAGGCAGCATGGCTGATCTGGTCCCTGTTGCTCCGTCTGCACTAGAAGCACGAGTCAACACGTTGGCACATTCGTGTGTCTTATTAAAAATTGTGTTTTCCAAGAATATTTAATGGCAAGGGATGATGGTCATAGTGTTAAGTTTTCTAAGGCAAAGCAGAAAAATATGTGTATGCGTGCTTGAATTTGTGTGTATGTGTGCGTTGTATTACAACACACAGAGCGTATATCTCTATGGAAGAAGACCGAAAGTAAATACGCCGTAGTATTAACACTGATAACTAGGATGACATGAAGGACTAGGATGGATGATTTTTGTCTTCTTCATAGATGCTGTTTCTTTCAAATAATTGAGTACTTCTTCAATAATCTCAAAGAAAAATAATCTAGGTATTAAGCGTAAAGATATTTGAAAAGACACGATTAAACACTAGCAATCCTAGCAGCAGAAACCCCATGCACTGTCACGAAAGCTAGTGTCATGTTCTAGAAAGAGGCCATAAAGGGCATGGAGAAATCTGGCGTGATGGTGTGAGAAGGTTTGGGATGACTCCTTCTGTGTGAAGAAGCCCCCGGTGGCCCTTACAGCCTCCTTGCAACCCAGGGTCTCTCTTCTTGTGTCCACAGATTGTCCGTGTGGAACCCTTGGTGACCATGGGTCAGGTGACCGCCCTGCTGACCTCCCTTGGCTGGACCCTGCCGGTGTTGCCCGAGCTCGATGACCTCACAGTGGGTGAGGACGGGAGGGTCAGAGCTGAGACACCGTGGCCCACTTCCTGTTGGTTCAGGGGCTGCCACTATTCCATCTGTGACAGAAGCCACCCTCTCTGTCCGCCCAGTGCCAAAGGCAGGGCGTCCGCTGCCTCCCTTTCCGTCTCTGAGTAGCTCAGGTTATTAGGCGGCACCTTCTCTCTGACGCAAATCTGCGTCCCTGTGACCCGTGTCTGTTATTGCAGTTCTGCCAGAGTGAACAGAATAAGTCTAGTGTCTCTCTCCTTGCTCAGGACTCATGGTCCCCAAAGCCTTTCCTTTCCAGGGCAGACACCTTCAGCTCCTCCTGTCACTGTTCCCACAGAACACGGCATCCTGCCACCCAGGCAACCCCCCTTTTCACTCAGGTCCCTCTTAAGATGAATGAACCTGGTTTTCTAGGCTGGGTCTGGACAGAGGTGTGGGTGGGAGCACCTTTGACAGGCTCTCACGTCCTTGCCCCTACACCGGGAAAGCCCTCGGGTCCGTCCTAGCTCCTCCTTCCGTCTCCTGCTCTCCAGATCCGAAGAGATGGAAAGTCTGTCCCAACTGGCCAGCCCTGTCCTGCCTCCCTCGTGCTATGAGCAACCCCAGCTCTTGCGAAGTGCCTTTTCCCCCACTCCCCTTGAACCCTCAACCCGCAGCTCTGCCCGGCTCACCCGCATGTCTCTGCAGGAGGCTTGATCATGGGCACGGGCATTGAGTCATCATCTCACAAGTACGGCCTGTTTCAACACATCTGCACTGCCTACGAGCTGGTCCTAGCCGACGGCAGCTTTGTGCGGTGCACACCGGTGAGTTCCGAGATGGGGACCTCCCCGCCAGCCTGCCCTGGGCATCAAGGGTCCTGGGGGGTAGGGACCCCAGGGGCGCTTCGTTTCAAACACACCTGTTTGGTCTGGGTCTGTAGCCATAATAGCCACAAAGATTGATTGAGCCCCTTATACGTGCCCAAATACGATTATAAATGCTTCCTATGTCTAGTCTTCCAATAACTTAATGAGGTAATATTATCAGCCACATTTTATCGATGGGAAACTAAAACGCAAAGAGGTTAATAAACCTTCCCGGGACACCCAGCTAGGAAATCCCACATAGCTGGGATTCAGACTCAGAATGTCAGGCTCCCAAACCAATGCCTTTAGCCATTTGTCACTCCGTTCTGCCTCTCTAGGGGGGATGTCAGGCCTGAGCCGCAAAGCTCTATGCCACCTGCTGTGAGGTGTAACTGAAAGCGGCAAGAGGGGTGGTTCAGGAAAGATAGAAGATTCTACTGCCTGGAGTGGGATGCAGACATTTAAGGCATTAAGAGAGCACTGGTCTTAGACACGGATTCACACCAGTTCAGCACGTTTTCCTACACACTTGCCTGGGCCCTGCCTCCTAAGCAGAGAAAGGAGACAGACCTTCATGAATGGCTTCCCTTCTCTGAGGCCCATTTTCCTCATCTGACAGATGCATTGTCAGGAGGAGACGGTAGAGGCCAGATGAGAAGCTCCTAACGTAGAGCCGGGTAGCTGGCAGACACCCACTTATTACTGCTGCTATCGGACAGTGTAGCGGGGTGGGGGGTCCAGATGGCCAGCTTCCGCCCTTCCAGAGACTTCTGGCAGTCTGTTCCAGAGCCCCCCTGCTCCAGGCCCCTGCCCCACCACACCCCACCATCCCCACACCAAGGGCACCCAGCATGAGCAGAGACTGCACAGGACTGTCCTCTTGGTAAAGGGCCAGACAAGCCTACACTCTCAAAAGGAGCTTTGTTAAAATCAAAGCATCTGAATGAGAATGGCCAGATGAAACGCCTCCAAGACAAATACCAAAACACGAAATGATAAGGTTAGAAGCAGATGCAGGACCAGATGAGGTCATGCAGGAAGAACACCAGGTCGGGAGGTAGGCGACCTTGCCTGAGCCCTGGCATCACTGGGCTGCCTTGTGGGACGCCTCGGGTGAGCCGTGTCGCTTCTCAGCCTCACTGTCCTTACCAGTTCTAGTGGGAATGTTAATGCTCTGGGCTGCCGGGTGGGGAGCGAGGGGAGTGGAGGGTGTGAAGGCTGGATTCCACAACTAATGGATTGAGAAAGGCTTGCCAGTTTTAGTAATGGCCCATTTTAATGACCCCTGGTGACCCACAGGAAGCTCCCTTTTCAGCCCTGACCCTTGGCCCTCCACCCCCTATTTTGGCTCCTTGGGCAGTGCTGGTCACGGCCTCTTCCTGGGTAGCCTGTGGCTCGGGGTGTTACCCGGGTGGAGGAGAGATGGTGCGCTTTCTGTGAGCTTCCCGAACAGAGGACCGTATGAGTTCGGCTTCGTGCTGCAGCTGCACAGAGAAAACGGGCCCAGAAAGTGCTGTTTCTGCGGCTCCTCAGGCGGGTGTACACAAGGAGACAGCGACGGCAGGAACTTAGCCGAGGCCCTGGGTTTTTGACCGGGTGCCCCAGTGCAGGGCCCGGGGATTCAGGCTCTCCGCGTGTGTTGGCCCTGACTCACAGGCGGAAAACTCGGACCTGTTCTACGCCGTGCCGTGGTCCTGCGGGACCCTGGGCTTCCTGGTGGCAGCCGAGATCCGCATCATCCCGGCCAAGAAGTACGTCAAGCTGAGGTTCGAGCCCGTGCGGGGCCTGGAGGCTATCTGTGACAAGTTCACCCGCGAGTCCCAGCGGCCGGAGAACCACTTCGTGGAAGGATTGCTCTACTCCCTCGATGAGGCCGTCATCATGACAGGGGTCATGACAGACGAGGCCGAGCTCAGCAAGGTAGGCCAGGGTGCCGGCTGCCCAGGACCAAGGCCCGGGGACAAAGAAGGCCCAGGTGGGCTGGGGCCTGGCCTGTCTTGCCACTCCGACCCTGGCAGCACATCCTCTGAGGCCGTGACCTTGGGCAGCCCATCCGAGTTGGGACCCCGAGATTGAAAGTCAGAGCTGTCTCAGGGATGGAAGCATCTATTTATTCTGCCCCAGCCCTAGGTACACGCATGTCTCTCAGCAGGTGTAACCTTTGATCCTCACAGCAAGCCCACTTGATAGATGGGGAAACCGAGGCTCTAAGAGGTCATGTAAGCATCCACAAGATGACAGCGCCTCGGAATCTAGATTGATAGCCCTTTAATGTATCATTTTCCACAGCAGCTTTTTCAGGGTTTGTATTTAGGAGAGACTTGGAACGTGTGAACCAGCAAAAAGAAGGAAAAGACTCTCTACCTAGAATATGTTATTCTCCCTGTAACAATAGTGAAATGCACAAAGGAAAAGTTAAAATGCGTCTCTTCACCCAGGCTCACTTCCAAAGCAGCTGCTTATAACACTTGGCATTCATTTTGTATTTTGTTTTTTGTTTTAAATTTATTTTTGAGAGAGAGAGAGCACGCAGGGGAAGGGCAGAGAGAGAAATCCTAAGCAGGCAGAATCTTCTGCACCGACAGTGCAGAGCCCAACTGGGGGCTCGAACTCACAAACCATGAAAGATCCTGACCTGAACCTAAATCAACCGTCTGAGCCATGCAGGCGCCCCATCCCTGAGTGTTCTTCAAGGTGTGTGTGCGTAGACGTGCCCTCATTTCATGCCTTGGTGTCCCACGATCACATGTAAACAGTTGACCCAGCCCGTTGCTCAGAGATGAACATTTATCTTCCTTCAGATGTTTTGCTTTCACAAATAGGTTTGCATCAGAGATTCTCTACTATCTATCCTTGGCCTCTTGTGCAAGCAATTCTGTGGGACTGAGGCCAAAACTTGAAATTACTGACTTAAGGGTTTGAGCATATTAAATAGTAGCAGCTGCAGCCAAAACAGCCCTTCAGAGGAGCTGTGCTTCTGTCCACCTCCAGCGACGGCGTGAGAGTGCCTTTCCCCCACCTTCTTGCCAGCACTGGATACAATCGCCCCTTCATTTTTGCCAATCTGATAGGGTTAAAAATAGTATCTCGTTTTATTTTGCAGCTCTTGGGTCACGTTCGAGGTTAGAACCTCTCTTTGTGCGGTTTTCTAGTTTGCCTCCGCGATCGCCCGTTCAAATGGGTGTTTTCTGGTTTAGTGTAACATACGCATTTCCCCATGTGGTCACAGTGCTTTCGGAATGGTCTTTTAATGACTGCTGAACATTGCGTTGAGCTATTGCCCTATCATCTCCCAAACCGTTGCCCCACAGTGGGAAATAGAAGTTGCTTCCAGTCTTTCCTTATTTTAATTCATGTAGCCGTGAGTATCTTTTGTCTGTGAAGGGAACGCTATCTTAAAGTACACCAAAGGATAGGTACCCTTTAGGCTCTTGATCGACACCCATATACTTAGACCATTTTACAATTGTAAAGGACTGAGAATCATCTGGTACATTTCCCTCTCTAAATATAGACACAAGAACCAGAGAGGGAAAGGGACTTCTCTGAGTCCACCCAGCTAGCACGGGGCAGATTTAAATCCAGGTCTCTGACTCCTTGTTCAGCGTTATGATGTAGCACCATTCACACTGGCTGCTGTGCCCTGCGTTGTTTCTTCTGGTCTCCCACCCACTCCAGGGCAGGCAGTGGCTCCATTTTGCCGGTACTGATAGCAAGGCTCAGGGGAGGCTAAGAAACGTGCCCAGCATCCGCCCAGCATGTTGGAAGTAGAACGAGCTCTGTGGCCTCAGGTGCTCTGTTCGACCTTGATGGTTGTCAGCATCCTCATCAGCGAGGCCAGGATGGCTCAGCCTTGCAGTGTCCTGGAAGGGATAATGAGCGAACGCATAGGTGCCAGTGACACCTGCCCAGAGCGTGTTGTGATTATTCTCCTCCACGAGCTACCGTGGGGCTTGATTGTCTTGCCTCTGCCCCTGCCTTTACCTCCCCAGTGGTCCCCCGGCAACATTTGCTTTCTCCTAGCCCTTGGTGGTGACCCAGCGGGTATGATCTCACCCCACCTGCCCGGTCGGACTCGGACACCTCTCCCACCCCTGGGAGAAGGCCGTCTGACACGGTGGGGTTGCTGCGCCAAGGTCTGGCCCCAGCTCGGGAGCCGCGCTCCCTCCAGGCAGCTAGCCTGCCTCTCTCCCAAAGCGTCGGGCCAGGTGTCGTTTCCCGGGTGAGGAGGGGGAGGCCCAGGGAGGCCCAGTCATCCCAGGGCACACAGCAGGTGAACTCCTGGAGCGTTTCCAGCTGAAGAAGACTGGCTCAATGGAAGATTGAGGCGTTGGGGGCATGGGGCCTGGTGCCAGGGTAGCATGAGGTTCCTCCTGTGAGCTTCCTCCACCGACAGCTGCCTGGGGAGGAGCACAGCACCCAGAGGGCCGTGAGGCTCGCCCTAGGTGGCAGGGAAGGTGCCACGGTCAGGGAGTGCTGTTGGTCATGGGACCTGGTGACGAGGAGTCGGTCCCCTGCATGGAGCACTGCGTCAGTAAACATGTGCCCTTGGGCTCCCTCAGCAAGGAGCAGCAGCGGACGGTGGGGGCGGGGTGGCTGAACCCCCTAGGCTATCGGGCATTGGCTGTCGGGCCCTGGCGCCCCACAGACCCTCGCTCCTCCCCGGGACGCGCCATGCTCAGCCTCGCTGGGCTTGCAGCAGTCTCCAGGGTGGAACAGATGCAAAAGCCTGAAAAGGCCAAGGGGTGCTGAACAGAAGCTGGGTATCGCTGTTACACCCTGATGGCACACGGCCCTCGGCTCTGGCCGACACAATGCCCTCTGTTATTTCAGCTGAATAGCATTGGCAACTACTACAAGCCCTGGTTCTTCAAGCACGTGGAGAACTACCTGAAGACAAACAAGGAGGGCCTGGAGTACATCCCCCTGAGGCAATATTACCACCGCCACACGCGCAGCATCTTCTGGGAGCTCCAGGTGAGGCTTGGGTTTCCGCGGCCGGCCCAGCAGGGGCCTGTGATGATCAGCATCGGAGCCGCACCCTGTCCCTGAGGGAGAGCGGACCTTCGTCCCAGGGAACCACGACGCCCTCCCTCATGGTCGTTCCCTTCCGGGGGAGCAGCCCGCTCTCACCAAATAGCAGCAGGCTGTCTTGCGCATCTGCCATGTGCCAGGGAGTGGGGCACGGGCCAGGTCCTTGGGAGGACGCATGCCCGTCTGCCATGAGGAACGGCAGCCGAGCCGGGCGGTGGGCCCTGGCACCGTGGAGGGCCATGGGGGCGGGAGGCAGAGGCAGCCAGGTCCACTTAGGGTCGGAGGTGGCTGTCAAGCTTAGCCTCGAAAGGTGTGCAAGGATTCGCTCTTGTGTGTGGAGGGGTGAGGAGCAAGTGACATCCGAAACGGGCATCAGGGAGGGCCTCTTGGGCACACCGTGTGAGCAGGGACCTGAGCAGGGGAGGGCAGGCCAGGCAGAGCCCTGGGGGAGAGCATTCCAGGCGGAGTCAGAACCAGAGCATGGGTCCTCAAATGGGCTACATGGGTTCTTTTTCCTAAGTCCTATAACAACAATAGTTGTTTTAATGTACGTAATTTGGTGGTATTTGGAACATTCGTGATCTATTACAACTACCACCGAAGTTGCTGTGGGCCTTTGGAGGAGAGAAACAGGAACAGCAAAATCTGGAAGCAGTAATGAGGCCGCAGGAGGAGCCCCCCTCACCTCCCCCTGCCCCAGACGGTCATGGGAGAGGAAATGATGCCACTGAGGACACCTGTGGGGCCAGCCAGGCTCCAGCTGGGGGCAGGGAGGGGAAAACCATATCGAGAGAGGAGATTGACGACGGGAGGGTTTGCTGATGTCAGACCATGAGAGCATAGGGGAGGTTTGGGAGACAAGGGGTATGCTACACGGGGTATCAAGTAACGGCACCTAGAAGTCCCTGGTGACTAGGTTAAATGGGTGACAGGCCTAAAGGAGTTAAACCTGGTGGCCTCCTAGGAGGAGGTGGCCAGTTCTAACTGTGGGCTACGTCTTTAGGGCTGAATGTGATGGAGCTGTGGTAAGGAGCTGGAGGAGTGGGGCGTGGAGGGCTCATCAAGACTGGGGGCCTCGGGGATCCCCCACCTCCATCAGCCCCCCCCTCCCCCAGGCAGTGTCAGGGCCCATCTCAGTGGATGGGCAGTTTTGCCGAATGCGAGAGACACCATGAGTCCTTCTTTGTCCCTCCAAGAGCAGGTGTGAAGGTTGTGGGGGGCATGATTTTGTCAAGAGCAAGAGCATCTGAGAGACGGGAAGAGAAAGAGGCCAGTAAAGGACCCTGAGAAGAGCATCCGAGCGGTAACACTGGTCCACAGTGACTGCCCCTCGCGTGTTAGTCATATTGTCCAAACCTCGTGCTCACACTGCCTTCATCTTCCTCACAGCCCTGGGAGGGACGTTCTCTGGTCTTTTCCATTTTCCAGATGGGGAAACCGAGGCTTAGGCCTTCCAGAGTAACACAACTCCATAAGAGATGGAGTATATTAGTTCCTTCTTGCTGCATAATGAACTGCCCCAAACGTAGAGAGTTAAAACCTCTGCCAGTTTAGGACTGTTATTTTTGGTCATGGCACAGTTTTCTGAGTGTCAGGGACAGGGACGTGATCGGGTGGCTCTGGCTCAGGGTTGCAGTCAAGGGTCATCTGGAGGCTTGTTCAGGGCTAGAAGGTCTGCTTTCCAGAAGGTTCCCTCACGCGGCTGTTGACAGGAGGCCTCCGTTCCTTGCCCTGCGGGCTGCTCGAGGGTCCTCACGACAAGGCAGCAAGAACCATACAGGAAGGGGACCGAGGAGGAGCCTCCAGGCCTTTCATGACCCGTTCCCTGGCCCTGCCAGTCCCCCGACATGCCATTCACTAGAGCAAGCCCAGCCCACACTCAGGCAGAGCAGCAAAGAGCTTGTGGGTCTTTTCAGATCACAGAGTTCAAATTCATCGTGAAGTTCGTCCTATACTTTTGTGCTGTTGAGCCCGGGCTGTCCCGCCTGAAGCTAGAGGCAGAATCTTGTAGGATGGGTGGTTTGCAGTTGACATTTGCACGCAGGGCGTCCGGGTGGAGCACCCCCGTGGCCACTACAGTGGAATCGCGGAAGCTGGGCCTTCTAGAAAGAAGGGGTAATAAGCCACGTCACCCGCATGCTTTTATTTCCCTGCCCAGGGACATGCACGCTCCACCACCACTCCAGCACGGCTTACTTACGGATGAGTCAGGAGGGACTGAAGAGAAAGAGGACTGAGCAACCCCCTCTTGCCCTTTCCTTTTATGTCCTCGTTTCCAGCCAGCGTACGTGGCTGGCTAATGCGGGGAAGGGACACCAGCAGGGAATGTTAGATGGGGTTCTTGGCTGTTCATGCTTCTTAGGACGTTGTTGCCACAGGGCCTGTCCTTGGGGTCTGGGGCCTGGATCTGTAGGGGCCCCGGCAGAGCAGAGCCGGTCAGTAACAGGCTGGACACAGGTGAAAGGCAAGGGCAGGCAAAGGGACCAGCAGTGATCGCAGGGACGCAGGACCTGGGGTCACTCAGAGGCCGAAAAGATGAATGATGGGGCGGATAGGAGGCAAAGGAGAAGGGCAGCCCATGCTGTTTAAAACTTGGACTTTTCTGAGGCTGAGATTTGGGGAAAGGAATGGTTCTAGCTGACACTTTTGGCTAATGTTTGGACTGTAATGGACTGTTTTTAGGGGGAAAATACAAACGGCGCTTAAGCATAAGAGAGGTGGTGGGTCTCACTCAGAATTAAAGCCAGGTGAAACGAAAATACAAGAGTCTCGTTTGTCACCGTCAGGATGACAGCGAGGCCAAAGTTGGAGCACCGTTTGGCCTGAGCGTGAGGAAACACCGCTCTCTTGTGTTGTCTGGGAGAGGATGAAATGGTACAGGCTCTTGGAATAGTAGCCATGAAACTTGCATACACTCCGTGAACCTGCATTTTCCACTTCTAGACATTTACCTTGCAGATAAATGGGCGTGCAAACGGCCGGAGACACGTGTAGAAAGGACATTCGTTGGAATAGGCTGGAAATAGTCGAAGTGCTCATCAGTACAGAACTGATGAAATCAGGGAACATCCGCACAGGAGGGCAATGATCAGCAAACATTCTCTGTGAAGGGCCGGATAATACTTTGGGTTTTGTGGACCCTGGGATCGATTTAGAGGGTCCTCTGCTCATATAGACAACATGTAAATGAATGTGCAGGGCCTTATCCCAGTAAAACGTTATTTGTGGACCAAATTTGTCCCGGGAGCCAGAGTTTGTGGGTCCCTGCAGTAAGCGTGTGTGACGGCTCTCTGTGTGCTGATGTATAGGAGACTGTTAGATGCCACTTGTGAGCTGTCTTTTTTAAGTTTATTTATTTGGGAGGGGGTAGGGCAAATGAGTGGGGGAAGGGCAGAGTGAGGGAGAGAGAGAAAAATCAAGCAGGCTTTGCGCTGAGCCTCAGACCCGGGGCTCGATCCCACGACCCTGAGATCACGACCTGAGCCAATATCAGTCGGCCTTTCACCCGACTAAGCCACCCAGGCACCCCAAGGAGCCGCTGTTTTTTAAGCCCATCTGCTTGTCTAAAGGTACACAGCTAATTCCTAACAGTGGGTGCCTTTCGGGAGGGAAAGAAGTTGGGTCGGGAAGGAAGGAAGTGGGGTCAGGATGAGGGGGGAAATGGGGTGAGGGATGTGAAAGGAGGCCTGACCTTTGGACTGCTGGGATCTCTGCTGTGGGCGTGCGGGGCTTTCCCAGAAACAAGCGAGCGGACAACAAAAGCCGAGCTGCTCATTGTGCTCCCGTGTCGTGTGTGGGGATGGGTCCCTCCCTGGTGGGAGCAGGCTCCCAGCCGCAGAGCTGCTCCCAGGGAGGAGTGGGGGAGTCACTCAGTCTCCAGAGTTCGCACCCCGGTCTCTTTGGGGAGCCGCCGCCAACCCCTCGGCTGGTGTGGGCCCTGCGTCGTTCAGTCCCAGCTCTTGGGCCCTGCGTCGTTTAGTCCCAGCTCTCCACACACGGTTGTCCGTGGCCTATACCCCCATCACCTGAGGACAGGGACAGGGACCCGCCTTGGTAATCTTGCTGTCCCCAGCACCCAGCACAGAGGGAATACAGGAATGTCCTTGGCTTCAAGAATGGGGCGGCAGGTGGACAAGAACACTCGGAAGACAGCCTTGGAGCAAGGGGGGAAGGTACTGAGTGGGGGGCCGATGGCTGCGCTGCTGGGGCTGGGCAGGCTGGCCAGGTGAGGGGGCTCCTCCCTTGCAGACGTTTGAGGCATGGAAGAGGAAGAGCAGCCCCCACTCGGGAGGATTCCCGGGGAGGCCGAGCTGGAGGTGGGCAGGGAAGGACTGTGAAGGGCACAGGCAGGTGAAGAAAAGCGGCTAGTTCTGCCTGGGGTTGCAGGTAGCTATTAAGCTCGGCCTTGGAAGAACATGCTTTTGTGTGTGGAGGGGTGGGGAGCAGTAACATGTTAAACAGGAGTCAGAGAAGGCCCTCGGAGGGGTGCTGTGATCCAGTGGGCTTGTCGATGACGCTGAGCCAGACCTCACCCCGGCCAGGAAGAGCTGCCCCTGGCAGGGTGACCTTAGGGAGATTGCTTAAGCTCTCTTGAGTGTCGCTCTTCTCATCCAACAGCATCTATTTCTCAACCACCTATGAAATGCCGGCTCTGTGCCAGCCACTCTGACCTCAGTAACAGAAATAGCGATTATAACGGCCTTATCTCGCTCCAGGCACTGCACTGAGTGCCTTCTAGTTGGCGTTTCATTATTTTCTCGCATCCTGTTTTACAGACAAGGACAGGAAGCTCAGAGATTAAGTAACTCGCCAACGCTATTGCAGTGGTTAAATGTCAGAGCCGAGAATCAAACCCAGAGCTGGGTGGGCAAATCCCAGGGGCCGTCATGCCCCCCTGCTGGGGGAGTGCACCCTGTCATCCTAACTCCAAGCGCGGAACAAGGACCTGGCCCTGACACGTGGCCACATGCTCGGCCCGCGCCGGCCCGTTCTCTCTGTCGCCAGCCTCTGTCTTTCAGGACATCATCCCCTTCGGCAACAACCCCATCTTCCGCTACCTCTTCGGTTGGATGGTGCCTCCCAAGATCTCCCTCCTGAAGCTGACCCAGGGAGAGACGCTGCGCAAGCTGTATGAGCAGCACCACGTGGTGCAGGACATGCTGGTGCCCATGAAGTGCCTGTCGCAGGCCGTGTACACCTTCCACAATGATATCCACGTGAGCCGGGGCAGGGACTAGTCTGGGGCACGCTTGCCCCCCTGGGCTTCCGTTTTCCCTTTCTGTAAAATGGGCCCACTCGGTGATGGCCCTGCTGGGAGAGAAGGCATGGGAGCTGCTAACGAGTGGTCCTGTGAGCCGTTCACATTGTGTCCACTGATGTGGTGAAGCAGGGGCGCTCTCGGCTGCGGCCCGGGGGATTGGGAGTGAGGTGGCGGGCAGCCAGAGCGGGGGTTCCCAGGGAGGGGCGGGGCGGGCCAGACATGAGCCCACCCCCCATTGGAGAAAACGCACCAATGCCCCTCTCCCTGGTCCACCCAGGTCTACCCCATCTGGCTGTGCCCGTTTATCCTGCCCAGCCAGCCGGGCCTGGTGCACCCCAAGGGAGATGAGGCAGAGCTCTATGTGGACATTGGAGCGTATGGGGAGCCGCGGGTGAAGCACTTTGAAGCCAGGTCCTGCATGCGGCAGTTGGAGAAGTTCGTGCGGAGCATGCATGGGTGAGTGGCCCAGAGGGCAGTGCGCTTCCCCCCGGCCATGAGCCTCAGGGCGTCGCCGCAGCGGGTAGAGTCGGGGCCGCACTGGCCAGCCCCAGGTCCAGAACAGCCGGCTGCCCTGGGAGTGTGAGGCCTCAGCAGCATCTAGGCCAGGAAGAACCCTCTGAAAGTATGGCGGCTGGATTGCAGGATGCCTCACCCCTCCCTCTCCACCCCTCCTCCCGTGAATGCACCAGCAACCCCAGCTGCTCGGGCCAGAGCCCCACCATCAGCCTGCTCCCCCACCCCCCAGGGCAGGTGACCATGTGGTTTCAGATAGGTTCAGGGCTGCAGCTCAGGGTTGGAAGAGCACAGCTAAGGAGGAGGGGGACCTTGGCCAGCTCTTCTCAAGAACTGGCCTGGAACACACGCCTGATGGATCAAACATGGACTCATCTGAAAATAATTGTGCTGATTGGGGGGGGGTGGTCGGGGGGGAGGGAAACACACAGCACAAAAAAAAAACCCACAGGAGAAAGGAGAATTGTATGATTCCATTTATATGAAAGTCCAGAATGTCTGAGGACAGAAAGCAGCCCTGCCCAGGTGGATGGAGGCTGACGGACGGCACAAGGGCATGAGGAAAGTTTTTGGGGTGATGGACGTGGTCATGGGCTGGGTTGAGGTGACGGTTTCCAGGTTGTATACAAATGTCACACTTAAGTTGTACTCTTTAAATACGGGCAGTCAGAAAAAAAAAAAAAAAGGAAGAAGAAGGCAGCCCAGTGGCCCCGTCGGCAAAATGGGGGCAAGCGTCCCTGGGCTGCCCTCCGCCACCAGGTCAGCGGGGGGACCGAGAGAGCCAGAAGTCCTTCCCGTGCCACAAAGCGTGAGACGCGTGGCCCTTGGGCCCTCTCCCCTGCCGGCAGCCTCCGCTCCTATGCTCCGCAGGTTCCAGATGCTGTACGCCGACTGCTACATGAGCCGGGAGGAGTTCTGGGAGATGTTCGACGGCTCGCTGTACCACAGGCTGCGGGAGCGGCTGGGGTGCCAGGACGCCTTCCCCGAGGTGTACGACAAGATCTGCAAGGCCGCCAGGCACTGAGCAGGGTGGCCCCCGCCCCCCAGGTGCAGGAGGCGACTTCTCTTACCTCAAGCTTGGCTGCTCTCCCAGATCCACACTTCCAGAGAGAATCACCCCTCCCCCCGCCCCCAGAAATCTCACCCAGGCCACCCCTGGGCTCCCAGGGGCAGCCGACGGGAGTGCAAAGGGCGTGGGCTCTGGAGTCAGACATACCTGAGTCCAGTTCCCATTTCAGGCACTCATGAGCTGTGTGACTCTGGGCAAGTCACTCGACCCCTCTGAACCTAGCTCTTCATCTATTGAAAGGGGGTAACAGTACCCGCCTGCAGGCCCCTGTCCTCCAGGCCGAACGCCTGTCTCACCGGAGGTGCAGAATACGTGTAGCTGTGGTTGCTACAGCTCCCCATTCAGCACCTCTGACCGGGGGGCTCCGGATTGAGCGCCGAGTTCAGGAAGGCTCTGTGTGAGGTCATCCCGGCACAGGTGTGGCTGGAAGGGTGAAGGGGGTGCATCAGAGCTGGTCAGCCAGAAGCACCCCCTGTGGAGAGAGGAAGGCTCCTCTCTATCCCTGCAGTCCTGGGAGGGCAACAGATGGGGCGGGCAGGCCCAAGATGTGCTGTGCCAAAGGTCCCATCCAAAGTTCCCCTGCCCCTTCCTCCTTCCGGCGCAGGCTTGCAGGCCCCCCCCAGCCATCACCCACGCCTCAGAGAGGACCTTGTCCTCGGAGCAGACGCTCCAGTGCTGCTCCTGTCCTAGCCCGGGTGGAGTGAGGGGCTCGTGCTCTGACCTGGGTCCGGAGGTCCTGGGCCCACCCTCGGCTCCTTGACCCCCCCATGCCTCATCTGGTCCTCAGAGTGTGCCTAGTCACAGCGGGGGTGCGTCCACACGCGGTGGCACGCGGTGGGGGGCCGGGGGATCCACCAAGCAGGAAAATGGGGGACTCGGTGAGGATGCTCACTGTGGGGCCGGAAGGAAAGACCATCAACTTGATTTCTCCAACCACTCATCCCAGCCCCCTTCGTTCTCCCCCACCCACAGCTATAGTTAATTTCAGTGCCTTACCAATCCTAAGCTCAGAGAAAATTCGCTCCCTTTCCCTTCCAGAAGGAAGCGAGCCTCCCCAGGGCCTTCCCAACTCATTAAAGTTTGATCGTTTATGCAGCTCAGTCTGAAGAACTGCCCGGCCTCAGCTGAGGACCCAGACTTCGAGAAGGAAGTGTGTCGTGGGGGGCTGGGGTTACGCCAGCTGTGCCAGCCAGTGGCATGCTGAGAGCCCTGCCCTGAGAGGCAGGAGCTGGCTTTCAGTCCCGCTCCCTTGCCAGCAAGCCTTGCGATTGCGGGCAGGTCATTTAGGCCTCGGAGCTGCAGCCCCTCGTCTACCCTATCGGTGCAGCCAAGACCTCCCCGGGCGCCTCTGCTGGGGGAGTGCACGCCTGCCTTAGTGCAGTCGCAGTGCCCGTGGAAGGTCAGGTGACATTCAGGTCCTTCCTTCAGTCCAAGGCCAGCTGTCCTGTCACTTTCAGAAAGGCACACCTGTGGCTTGCAGGGAGGGGTCAGTCCTGTCCCTGCAGGTGACCGGAATCCTGATGGAGCCACTGGCGGATACTCAGCCACCCTACCCATCCCCCAGCTCCCCTCCCCCAGGGCTGCAAAGTGTCTTAGAGTGGCCCTGTGAGTGGGGGCACATTCATGGCACTCAGAAGGCAAAGGAACCCCCCCACCCATATGGCCCTGGGGTGGGTGGGGGGGAACATGAAAAAAATAAGAAACCTCATTCTCCAGCTTGTCTGCAAAGCACGTGACTTCCGACATTCACTCTTGGTGGGTCCCTGCACTTCCCCCTGGGGCTAAGCTGATGATCCTACTCCCTGTAGAGGAATGGTTTGCCCGAGCAGAGTAACCCATTGAACAAGGCTCTGTCATTTCCCCAGAGGGGGCCCCCATCCTTAAGCCGCTGGGAATGGCCAGAGAGGCCAGCGGCCTCTGTCATCCTAGATGCTAGACAGTCCTAGGATAACCAAAATCCTGCCCTTCACAGACCTCACATGGAGACCCGAGCTTGGAAGAAAGGGAGGTCTTGGGATCACGCCGGCCTCAGGTTCATGTTTTGCCCCAGTGATTCCTTGCCCCGAAAGGGGTAGACTTCCAAGCATGGCGAGCGTGGCTCCTGGCTTCTTCCTGCAGCCAACCCCATCACTGCCCATCCCTGCGGTGGCTTTGGGTGTGGGGTGTGTGGAAAGTGAAGGGGTAGGCTCTCCCCTCCAGAGCCCCCGAGTGTTCTGGCTGGAAGGATGCCTAATTTAGCTATTACGGGAAGGGAAGGGAGGGGGTGGGGATGCGTGTGGCAGTGCATGGAGTGTGGTTTTTCTTCCCGCAATCACGGGGACCAAGGGGAAAGGCACGTGTGTCACCCCCCAAAACAGTCTTTTGCCGCTGCAGGCACTGTGCACCCTGTCTAGAGCACTTCACGTCCCTGTGGCTACGTGGTTGCTGCTGCTGTAAAAATAAAAGCATTACCTGGGAATTAGCCTTTGTCATATCTTGCTTCAGGGACCACAAATGCCCAGGGATGGGAGCTGAACGACACCACGGGGAGGTGCCAGGTTTGTCACGAGCGGTTCTCTAGCCTGTTGCTGAGTGTCGTGGATCACAGCGTGACCCAGCATAGGTTTTAATAGGATCCCTCTGACCGCAGGGGGAGAGTGGAAGCCAGGAGACCCAAGAGAAGGGCCCAGGGGAGCGATGATGTAGCTCAGGTCAGGGAGGGGACCGCATGTCGACATGGTTTTCGGGAGCTCTGGGCTACAGTGCTGGCTTGGTCACCAAAACCCCTTTCTTCGAGCTGCTGGAGCTGCATTTCCCAGCCTCCCCAGCACACAAGTGTGTCCTTGGGTCTGGGCTCTTTAGGGGATGTGAGGGGAGTGGGCAAGACCGCCCATGTGAGTCTCTAGCACATTCCCCTTCTATTAGCTGGACGCCAGCGAAAGGTCTGAGGCGGTGGCTAAGTCACAAGCTGGAAGGAACCCGCATCTCTGAGTAACTACGTGGACCTGCCCACCCCATTACGGGGGCAAGAAATGAGAACTTTGTGGCGGAGTCACTACATACGTGGGACTGCTTGCTAGAGCTCTTTAGTTGCCCTAGTTGGTGAGCAGAGATGTAAGAGCTGTGTTTAGGACAGTAATGTTTTATGCAAACACATGGCTATACACGATGGACCTTTTCCTAAAATGTGTGTGGTATGAAGGTCCCATCCTGAGGTTTTTTTGGAAGAACGCTTTGGAAATTTCAGTTGTTCAGTCTCGCAAAGCTGGCTTTAGTGAATTCTCTTTAAGGGAGGAGAAGTCTTTAAGGCTCCTTAAAATAGAATTTGCATTTCACGCCTTAAATACCGCCCTACATTTGAACAGCACATGACACACAGTATTGTATTTAATCGTCTTGTGCCCAGAGCAGGCCTGTACACCTCCATTTTACAAGCCAGGAACGGGAAGCTCAAGACAGGTCAAGTGATTCGCCTGCAGGCCACAGGGAAGCTATTAACAAATTAAACAAGGATGCAGACCCTCATCTAATCTTACAGCCTGAAGTACAAGGGAAGAGTCTTAGCACCAGCTGAGGCAGCTCTCGAAGCAGTGAAATGAGCCCCCGTGGCTGGGCCGCACACGTATACGGGGCGGGAGGTCAGGGTTCACTGCTGGATCTGCTGAGAAGGGAGACGGGGGGCTCTCTGCCGCTTTCCAGGGCTAGTTCTTTCCACCAGGAGCCCCTCTTGCCTCCACAGACCCTCAGTCCACACCTGCAGCGTCCGTGCACTAACATTCATGCAATTGGTTTTCCAAACTTGGCTCCTATAAGAGATATCAGACTACGCAAATTAGACATAGACGTATTTTTAAATTTTTTATTTTTCTTGGGGCGCCTGGGTGGCTCACTGGGTTAAGCGTCTGACTTCGGCTCAGGTCATGAGCTCGCAGTTCACGGGTTTGAGCCCTGCGATGGGCTCCGTGCCGACAGCTCAGAGCCTGGAACCTGCTTTGGATTCTGTATCTCCCTCTCTCTCTATCCTCCCCTACTTGGTCGCGCTCTCGCTCTCTCACGCGCGCGCGCGTGCTCTCTCTCTCTCTGTCTCAAAAACTAACACTTAAAAAATCTTAAATATGTTTTCTAGTTCTATCTTGGTTATTAAATAGCCTACAGCTTTCAGCTGGCCTGGCTACTCTAATTACTGCCGGTGACTGATCTGGAAAGCTGTGCTGAGAAACACAGGTTTTGCTGAGGTCTAGGAAGAGGTATTTGATAGTGCTTGGGAGATTGAATGTGTCCCCCGCTCCCAATTTGCATGTTGAAGCCCTAATATAATGGTATTGGGAGGTGGAGCCTTCGAGAAGGATTGGGAGGGTGGAATCCCCCGTGATGGGGTTAGTGTCCTCTAGCCTCTGGGGTTAGTGATCTAGCCCTCTTTCTGACCGCTGCCCTCTGAGGATACAAGATGTCCATCTGCAAACCAGGAGGTGGGCTCTTAGCAGATATCGGATCTGCCAGCACCTTGATCTTTGACTTGTCAGCCTCCAGAACTGTGAGAAATAAATGTTGGCTGCTTAAGCCACCCATGCTGTGGTAAGTTGTTAGAGCAGCTTGAACAGCTGAAGACAGATGGTGCGAAGCCTGTTGACCCCAGGGTCCCGGAAATAGCTGAATCCTGCTCTGTCCATCACCTCTCCTCCCCACACGGTTCCCGAGGGAGCAGACCCAGGGGATGATTTTTGTAATGGGGCGCTGTGAGATAACAGGAAAAATACATACTGGTCTCTGTCCCTATTTCTTGGCACAGGGCTCCTAAAAATCCTTGTCATTTCCTAAGGGATAAAAGCACCAGGAACATCGTTTATTTTAGTATCTGCCCTTTGCTCCCAATTCCTGACCCTGAGCTCCCAAATCCCTTGGAATTTCCTGGGTGATTGGAGTGTCTTTTGCCCTCATGAGGCAACTCTGGGTGCGCTCCTGGTGGGCTCCCGGAGGGGGCTCTGAGGGTCAAGTTAGAGAAGGTGAAACTCCCTTTATTTAGGGCCAAGGGGCCGTGGCAGGGCGCCCCGCAGGAGCCAGGCTTGCTCAGGCTCCAGGTAGGCAGCGAGGAGCCCAAGATTACAAGGATTCAGGGTGTGAGTTGTGAACAGAAGGGGCTTCCCAGAGCCCCCTCTCACCTGGCCTGGCTGCTATGCCTGGGGTCATTGTGGACTCCCATAGTACTAGGCACTGTTTAGGCTCATGATGGTCAAAACCATCACTCTCTGGTATTGATGAGAAACTAACACAGCCAAGAGAAGTCTCATCCCATTAGCTATGTTAGCTAAAGCAAAAGTGCTGCGCAGCCTAGGTAAACTCGTTCCTTCTCTGAGCCTCAGTGTCCTCTTATAAAAAGCCAGCTGAGGGGCACCTGGGTGGCTCAGTCAATTGGGTGTCCAACTTCAGCTCAGGTCATGATCTCGCAGTCTGTGAGTTTGAACCCCGCGTCGGGCTCTGTGCTGACAGCTAGCTCAGAGCCTGGAGCCTGCTTCAGAGTCCGTGTCTCCCTCTCTCTCTGCCCCTCCCCCGCTTGTGCTCTCACTCTCAAAAATAAATAAACATAAATTTTTTTTAATTAAAAAAACAAAGCAGCTGTACTTGATCGGGCTGAGGTATTAGATAACCAGCTACCTAGTTGCAACAGGACTGCCTTTGGGAGATGCCATCGCTACATTATCAGTGGTCCAGGTTTTGCAAGGTAGTGCCTGAGGCATAGGTCTGGTGACCTGGCCAATGAAAGTCGGCTTTGGGGCGCCTGGGTGGCTCAGTCAGTTAAGCATCTGACTTGGGCTCAGGTCAAGATCTCAAGGTTTGTGAGTTTAAGCCCCGCGTCAGGCTCTATGCTGGCAGCTCAGAGCCTGGAGCCTGCTTCAGATTCTGTGTCTCCCTCTCTCTCTGACCCTCCCCTGCTCATACACTCTCTATCTCTCTCTCTCAAAAATAAATAAACATTTAAAAAAAATTTTTTTTTAAAGAAGAGAAAGACAGCTTTTGCCCTGCTCAGGGTTTCTCACAACTTGGCAGGACCTCATATTGGACTGGAAGAAACTGCTAGTCTCCAAAGCAACCCTGATGTGACATTTTTAATGTTTATGAGCCAGAGGACTCACCCCAGCCTCCCATGGCCTACTGCAAGGGATTGAACGAGGCAAACATCTTCCCTGAGGTGGAACTCTTTCCTCCAAAGCTTTTAGCCCAACATAAACAGAGTTTGTACTTTGGTTCAAACGGGGCAGGGCTAAGAGCCCAACCCCCACAGAGCCCTCCAGCCTTCCTTCCCCAGAGGTCGTTGGAGGCTTCAGCAAAACCTAGGTAACCAACCTCAGCTCTCCCAGTCTCTTACAGCTCCGCAGAGGCAAAAAGTCAAAGGTCACGGGAGCCAGATTTCAGCTCAACATCCAGAGGACACTTTTACAGCCCTGCCTGCCTGCCCTGGAAGGACTTGTCTCCGGGGTGTGTAAGAAGCTGGGTGGAGAGTTACTGTTGTGAAATGAAGCAGTAATGTCAAAGCGAGATGCCCAGCCCAGCGCTGTGGCAAGGTGACACAATGCAATGCTAGAAAAACATATTGGTGCTTGGGTTGGTCTGGGTCAGAAGCAGGTCTTGAGACCGGGATTTGAGTGTAAGCAGTTCATTTGGGAGGTGAAGAAAACACCAGTAGGTGGACAAAGAAGAGGTGCCAGCCAGTGAAAGGTGCATCGCCAACAGGTTACCGCTGTGGGCAACTGGAGATGAATCATGCTGGGAAAACTCTCACAGCCAGAATAAACCCTGCACCTCAGAGTTAGTTAGATCCCACAAGGGGGGTGAGGGAGCTGGGTGCTTGCCTTCCAATCCCATCAGTCAAATCTGAGGGGCAGCTCCCGAGGGGCATTAATTCCTGTGGCGCTTCCAGCCTTCCGTGGAAGGAAGCTTGTGATGGCGGCCAGAGAACCCATCACGCCATTATGGCTGGATGTCCCTTCTTAGCACATGCGACTTTTGTTAACACATAGAAGTTCATTGGTATTTCAAGGGAAAGTACTTCAAAGAACTGCCTGATTTAAAGTTGTTATGTCGGTTTCTCTTACAAAAAGGCAAGCATTCCAAAGTCGCTGAACTACTCTATGCTGACAGTGATTATCCGTAATATCACAGCTGACAAATAAACTTGAAAACAATGCACTTATTCTATAAGGTTAACCCATCTTTAAAAGAAAAGTGTAACTGCATATATTTTTAACTTTTTATTTTGAATTAATTGTAGACTTATGGAACAGTTGCAATGGTGGTTCAGAGTTCCCTTGTCCTCCTCCCCCAACTTCCTCTAGAAGTTACCATCTTCTACATCACCACAGAATGATCCAAACCAAGAAATTAACATCTACATCCTATTATTAACTAAGCCGCAGATGTTATTTGTATTTCACCCACTTTTACACTAATCTTCCTATCCTTTCCAGAATCCCTTCTAGGATTCTACATTGCATTGAGTTGTTACTTCTTATTTTCTTCCAAACTGTAATAATTTATTGAGGAGTAATTACATAGGATAAGCTGCACATACCTAAAGTGTACAATTTGGTTAGGCTTGATATTGTCTGGAGATACCACCATTGTTTGTTCATTCATCTGTTGATGAATGGACATGTAGGCTCTTTCCAGTTTGAGGCTCCCACAAATAAAGGTGGCTAGGAGCATTACAGTCTTTGTGTGGACTTAGGGTCTCATTTCTCTTGGGTAAACACCCAGGAAAGGAAAGACTGGACTATATAGTAGGTGAGGTGTATCGTTAGCTTCTTGCCAAATTGTCTTCCAAAATGGTTGTACCTCTTTACATTTACCACCAGCAGTATGAGAGTTCCAATTGCTCCACATCCTCACCAATACTGGGTATGGTCAGTCTTTCTTAATTTTACCTTGTTTCATAGGTGGGTAGTAGTATCTCATTGTGGCTTTAATTTGCATTTCCTTAATGACTAATATACATATTCCAAATATAAGTCCTTTATCAGAGCTATGATTTGCAAATATTTTCTCCCAGCCTATGATTTGTCTTTCCATTCTCTTAATAGTGTCTTTGAAAAACAATTTATTTTAATTAAGTCCCATTTCACAATTTAACAATTTGTTCATACCATACCAAAGTATGATCTATAGAATAACAAACAGTTAAATTTGCATCTAAGATATTTCTGCCTAACCCAAAGTCCAGATTTTCTTCCTGTACTTTCTTCTAGAAGTTTCATTAGTTTAGGCTTTACGTGTAGGGTTTTGATTCATTTTGAGTTAATTTTTGTATGTGATTTGAGTCATTGATCACAGTTCATTTTTTGCATATTGATAGTCAACAGTTCCAGCACCATCTGTTGAAATTCTTCTTTTTCCACTGAGTTGTCTTTGCACCTTTGTTGAAAATCAGTCATCCGTTGGTGTGTGGGTATGTTTCTACATTCTCTATTCTGTTCCTTTCATCTGTCTATCTTGATACCAACTTCACACAATGGAATAAGGTGTTTTTATTCTTCCAGATTTGTTCCACTTTTTCAAAGTTGTTTTGACTATTTTATGTCTTTTGCATTTCCATATGTCTTAGGATCAGTTTGTCAATTTAAAAACAATTACTGAGATTTTGATTGTTGCCTTGAATCGACAGATCAATCTGGGAGGAACTGATAGCCATTTTGAGCCTTTTACTCCATGAACATGGTATATCTCTTCTTTATTGAGGTCTTCTTTCATTTATCTTGGCAGTATTTTGTAGTTTTCAGTGTAAATATCTTCTATATCTTTTGTCAAATTTATACCTAGATATTTCATAGTTTTGAGACCATTATAAATGGCATTTTAGATTTTCAATTTTTGATGATCACTAATATATAGAAATACTTAGTTTTGATATATTGATCTTATTTCTGGAAAACTTGCAAAGCTAATGTATTAGATCTGGTCTGCACCTATTTTGGCTCATCAGCTTTTTTGAGGACCCATAGAAATTTTTTTCACATAGGCAACATGTCTGTGAATAAACACAGTTTTACTTCTAAAACAGTCATTTTGACATGAGTGAGAAAGTAACTGCTTTTTATAACGTACTCACACTCTGAAGAGTGAAATATTTTTTATCATTATTAGAGTTTTGTGGCTGAGGCTGTGGTGTCCCAGCCTCCTTTTTATCTAGGGACAACACGCTCCTGCCACCTTACACAATCCTCTACTGACAGAAAACACTGATGGAAGCAGATGAGGACATTGTGAACAGCCCCACAGACCCATTTTTGGGCTAGACTGGTGTGCCCACAGGGCTGAACTCTAGGGGTGAAACTGATTGTTCCCAATGGCTACACATTTCCTGGAGGCCAGCGGCCTCCTCATATATAGCATTAGGCCCTGCAGAGCTTCTAGAAGCATCCAGGGATGGAGATGGAGAGCACAAGAAGGGGGCCTACAGCTGTCTTATGACAAATGTGACACTTGCCCACCTCTTTTTGGATTTTAATAATCAGAGAGTCAAGCAATTTGAGTTTAGAAGAGGTTCCAAGAGTGTCAACCACATTCCACCCATTAGTCCATCTGCTACCTGGCTCCCATGTTCATGTCACTGGCTAGTTTGAATTCTCAGGATAACTGATCTTTCATAGCAACAGATATTTGGCCCCAGCTGTCCAGGGGACCACGTGACCTCCAGGTAGATGTCTCCAGCAAAAGCGTTCCCACCATATCCTTCCCCTCCAGGCATTCCCAGGTGTCCTTTCTCCAAGAACCACCCCCCCAACCCAGATTCCCACTCCTACACTCCCATCCCCAAATTTGTCTTCAGGTTTTTGGGTCCTCTGGTCATCACAGGCTGTCCTTCATATCCACCTTTAAGGAGTAGGATCTGAATTGTAATCCACCGTTGGAAGGCACCTCCCCTTAGTAAAAGGTGTGATCCTTTCCCTTTAAAAAGACAGAAAGAGAAAATGAAACTTGTTCTTTGGAAGGAAGTGAGCCCCCATCCTTGGGAGGGGCACCCGTGGGGATGAAAAGGTACCCGCTGGTTGTGCTTCCCAAGGGTTCCTGTATTGAGTAGGAGAGCAAAATTGATGACCCCCAGAAACAAAACAGCCTGGTTTTGTGAACCAGTTTGGATCATCAGAGCCCCCAAGTTGGTTTTTTAAGAACTCCAAATATGAAATCCTAGCGTTTGAAAGATCATCTAACCCACCCCTGAGAGGGAGAGAGAGACTGAGGGCCAGAGGGAGGAGAGAACTTGCCTGAGGTTACCCTGGTGGCCAGAGTCAGGGCCAGAATTCCAGCGCAGAGCCCCTGACTTCAGTCTAGTGACCCTTGCATTGTTCTGATTCTTTCCTCTGAAGGGAACCCCTGAAGACTCTCATTCATGGAACTCTAGTTCCACTCCCAGAGCCATTTGGAAGATGGCATTTCAATAAAAACACTTTGCTTTGTGTTTCAAACAGCATCTATCAGCCATTATGTTACACTTATGTGTTTATTCTCTGTCTTCCATACCAACATGTAAACTTCACAAGGGTGGGACTTTTATTTTTCTTTTTAAGTTTATTTATTTATTTTGAGGGAGAGCACACAAGCAGCAGAGTGAGGGAGAGAGAGAGAGAGAGAGAGAGAGAGAGAGAGAATCCCAAACAGGCTTCAGGCTATCAGCACAGAGCTCAATTTCATGAACCATGAGATCATGACCTGTGCTGAAATTAAGAGTTAGATGCTTAAATGACTGAGCCACTCAGGTGCCCCAGGACTTTGATTTCTTTATGGATATTTCCCCTATGCTTTGACTGTTACCTGGTGCTTGGTAGGTGCTGCACAAATATCTGTCAAAGGAAGGTGGGAGGGAGGGCTCAGCAGGGTAAAAGAGGTCTTTACTCTTCACTCCTCCCCATCCCACTGTCCCTGGCCTGGCTCAGAGCCTCAACTCTTCCCTGACCATTAAGATGGACTTATCTCCATCTCCTTCCCACTGCCCCACCCCACAATGCCACAGAACACATCTTTAAAACACAAAGCTACTTGGGCTCTCTCTCTCTCTCTCTCTCAAAAATAAATAAACAAACATTTAAAAAATCTTTTAAACACAAGAGTTACTTCCCATTAAAACCCTTCTGAGTGTCTGGGAGAAAATATCTGCAAAACACATATCTGAAAAAAGATGGAGGCTTAGAATACATAAAGAACTCTCGAAACTTAATAGAAGAAAACCGGCAACCCATTTTTTAAGGCGCCAAAGAAGAGATATGGAGGAGGCAGAAGCCAAGGAGGAGGCAAAGCCAAGTCCCACCCCAATATTACATCTTCCAAGAGGCCCTTTCCAAAGACCTCTGAGGAAAACTTACCGATTACCTGAATTACAGGTATTTGTCTGCAAAAAGGCCAGATGCCTACATTAAGACACCGCAATCCCATTGCACCAGTTGGTCTTGCTTCATCACCTGTCAGATCCTCTCCTGTGTCCTGCCCTCCAGCTACCCAGCCACCCCCAAACAGGCCAGGCTTGTCCACCCCTCCGTGCCCAGGCTGGCAACTGCTGGCAGCCTGGGACGCAATGCATCTCTGCACCACCTTCCCAGGGAAGACTCTGGCTCCTCCCTCTGCATACCATGGTCCCATAGCATCTTACTGAGCCCTCTGTCATGTACCTGATTCCAGGTCAACCCCTCTCCCTTGCCCCATTTGCCTGTGACTCTTCTGAGAAAAAAAACTGGCCCCTAGCAAAAAATGTGATTGGCTCTTCAATCTCTAGGTCTTCCCCACCTCCTGCCCTCATCCAAGGTCAATCTCTTTCTATGCTAGGGTGACCCCCCCCACCAGCCTGTACAAGGAGTGGGTTCCACCACCTCACAACTGAATCACCTGCTTCTACCTTGCCTGTCAGCTCAGAAATATGCTCCAGCCTCTATCCCTCCCCATCCCTACCTAGAATAAAGGCAGATCGAGGAAAAAGGAGGAAGAAAGGAAAATTTAAAATATGGCCTCCTCTCCCCACTGCCTGCCTTTGGAGCTGAAGGCCCTATCTTTCCCTGGTGCCATGTTGTCTCTATGGCAGTCACCAGACCTCCATGGTGCACAGTAAATGTGCAGTGGGGATGCGGAAAGAGGGGACTTCACACTGAGCCTCCTGAGTCCCCTCTTCCAGGCCAAACTCCCAAATCTCCCACCAAAGTGGCATATACAAAGGCCAAGGAGGTCAAAGAAAATGGATCAGGGGAGGGCAGGTGGAGTGAGGCCAGGGAGACAAGTCACAGTGAAGACTTCCTCTTCCTTAGCCTTCCCTCCTGGTCTCATCCACCAGGAGGTCATGGGGAAGGAGGGAGGAAAGCATTCTGGAAAGTCCTGAGGCCCTCTTGTCCTGATTCTCCTTCTCTGCTGCCCTGTGTCTGTAGAAAGAGGGAGTGCCTTCTGCGTGAAGCTGGGAGCCGTCTTGGGGCAGAACTGCTGCCGGGCTCTCTTCTGCAGTGTTCCAGCGGCCAAGATGTGCCTGGCACTTAGCAACTGCCCAGTGAATCTTTGAAGCCTGAATGCACGTACACCATTGACTGGCAGCGACTTTTCAGGAAACTGCTCTCTCTCCAGATTCCAGTTGTCTTAACTGGAAAACATCGAGAATAATATCTACCTTTTAAAGTCATTGTACAGGGGCCCCTGGGTGGCTCAGTCGGTTAAGCGTCCGACTTCGGGTCAGGGCATGATCTCTTGGTTTGTAAGTTCGAGCCCTGCGTTGGGCTCTGTGCTGACAGCTCAGAGCCTGGAGCCTTTTTTGGATTCTGTGTCTCCCTCTCTCTCTGCACCTCCCCTGCTCATGCTCTGTGTGTGTCTCTCTCTCAAATAAATAAGTAAATAAGCATTTAGAAGTTTTTAATTAAAAATAAATTTTAAAAAAGAATAAAATGCTATAAAAGGTAGTATGCATGCAGAAGTATTCAGGAGGAAGTGTACTGAGGTCTGCCATTTACCTGAAATGTATTCAATTATAAGATGATCAATAGATGGATAGAGGGGCAGATAGATAGAAAGAGGTGTTGTAAAGCAAGAAGAGTAAAGCATGAATGATACAGTCTAAGTGGTGGATACATGGGTGTACATGGTAAAAATCCTTTCAATTTTCTGTATATTTGAAATTTTTTATAATAAACAAATATCAGGCAAGCTTAAAAGGAAAAGTAAACCTCTACCAAATCAAACTGGAAGTTTCCATGTGTTCCTTCCATGGAGTCCTCCAGACCCACCTGCTTCACCGGGTACTGTACCACTGAGCACATATTCATCGAGCTCCTTCCATGCATGCCAGGGAGACACCAGAGCTCCAGAAACAAGAAGTGTGTCTACAGGGACCACAGCATGCGAATAAGTAATTAGCACAAGGAGGAAAGGGCCTCAACCCTGGGGGTCACAAGAGATTGAGAATAAAGAGACACTATCTGGAAAAATCGGGAAAGGCTTCCCATTTAAGCAGAGTTGTGGAGGGTAAATAGGAGTTTTCCAGACAGGAACTAGTGGAAGGCTGTTCCAGGAGCTGGTCACAGTGTGGCCACAGCATGGAGGGTGGGGCAAAGTATGGCCTGGCTGGAGCACAGCTCATGGCCACACAGCCAGAGGGTGGGCTAGATGTAACTAGACCTGGCTGCGGGGGGCCCGGCTGGCTCCGTCGGTACAGTGTGCGACTCTGAATCTCAGGGTGGTGAGCTGAAGCCCCACATTGGGTGTGGAGCCTAGGAAGGAAAGGAGGAAGGAAAGGAAGGGAAGGCAGGGAGGAAGGAAGGAAGGAAGGAAGGAAGGAAGGAAGGAAGGAAGGAAGGAAGGAAGGAAGGAAGGAAGGAAGGAAGGAAGGAAGGAAGGAAGGAAGAGGGGCACCTGGGTGGCTTGGTCAGTTGAGCGTCTGACTTTGATTTCAGCTCAGGTCATGATTCAAGGGTTGTGGGACTGAGCCCCCAGTTGGGGTCTGCACTGAGCATGCAGTGTGCTTAAGATTCTCTGTCTCTCTCCCCTGCTTTGTGCATTTGCTTTCTTTCTCTCTCTAAGAAGGAAGGAAGGGAGGGAGGGAAGGAACGAAGGAGAGAAGGAAGAAAGAAGGAAGGAAGGGAAGAAGGAAGGAGGGAAGGAAGAAAGGAACGTCAAAATCTGACATCTGTTTAAAAAAAAAAAAGACCTGATTGTAAGCACCAGAAAGGTGGCCAGAGGCAAGATATGATCCATTGGTCAGGTCAGTCAGGCGTACTTATGAAACACCTACTGCCTACGCAGATCTAAAGAATCAAAACCAAGTCTACCTTTCCCACAAGGGAGTTAAATCCCAGGCTGCCAGGCTGAAAGCCCAGAACCCTGTGGTTTGGTGGGAGGAAGCAGGTGAGCCTAGGGAGTGAAGGGTGAACTGAATTAGTTGTCATCCTAGAAACAGACTTCACAACTCTCCCACACTCCCCCTTCCTCACCTGGCCGGCCCGTGCTTTGAGGACCCACTGTGTTCTGCTCTCAACACCTGACCCAGGAGGAGAGGCTGAAGCAAATGGCCAGAGTCAGAGGGGAGCTTTCAGCCCTGCATTTACTTGGCGGTCACTTCCATGCCTCCAAGCCTCACGTACTCCTGTATAAGATGGGAAGATGGGAAGATGGCACCGGCCTTGATCTTTGCCTTCTATAGCAGGCACCGTCTGTGGACTTGTGGGCGTTTCCACCCCCAGGATCACAACCAGTGCTCTCCAGCCGCAGGCAAGGATTAAGAAGAGGCCATCAGCCCTGGGGCGGGGGCGGGGGTGAGGGGGGCGGGGGTGGGGGGGGAGCCAGTGAGAGTGTCCCCAGACGCCCAGTTTCCATCGTCTTCATTCATTCCTGACTTCTGCTTTATTTTTATGTGTCTTGATTTTTTTAAAAAAACCTCTAGGGTCAAATGATTGCTTCTTTGGGTTTCAATCTTTCTTGGTGAATAT